TTCGCATGAGCCTGTAGTGCTTTGGAGCAGCCCTCCTGAGTCTCCCATCTGTCTTCCGGCCTGTCCTCCTCCAGGCCTAGTGCCACACTCCGGTGCTCATAGCCAGGCTTTTTTAATTTCCCTTTACTCCCAAGTCATTGTCTTCTTATTTCTTAGCTCCCATTCTTCTTAGTTGTGTTGATGTAAGTCATCAGTAGAGGCAATCGTATTGAATTAATCAAGCCTGAAGAAAGGATTAATAACCCCATCACCCTTGCATGCTATTGGTATAAAAGTATGGGAGTGACCGATAACCCAAGTCAAGCACAGGGTGTAGTTTTTTTTTTTTTTTGATACTCATTTATCATCTCTCACAAACAAGGTGCCAACATAGGCACAGGAATAGTCACAAGAGGAAAATAAGCTTATCACTCTACACGGAGACCCAGGATTCAAACAGCAGTCACTACAAGATACACTATAATGATGATACATTTCAAGAGAGAATTTTATGAAAATATTAAATCCTCCTCTGGTAAAATGACACAACAGTATTGGAAAATAATTAGGCATTATCTTGTAAAGATATGTGTATTGTTCAACATGGGAATTCTACACCTTGTTATATATTTTAGATTAATTCTTGCATGTCTACAGCAAGACATGTTTTTTAAATATCCATAGGCTGGTTTTCTGTTGCCATAACAAAATACCTGAGATAATAAACATATAAGAAGAAGAGCTTTATGTTGGCTCATGGTAGAGAGGTTGTAGTCTGTGGTTGGCGGGACCCTTTGTTTAGGCAGCACTTCATGGTGCGGCGCCTGGTAGAGCCAAACTGCTCAACGAATAATCAGGAAGCAGAAGAGAGCAAGGAGAGGCCCAGGGTGCCCTTCCAGGATACCCCCCAATGACCTCTCCTGGGCACTACCACTGTTGTCCCACTGCCTCCCAGCAGCCCCACCTTGGGGACTGGTAATTAGCAGTGGACCTTCAGGGGACATTTAACATCCAACCTATAATCTCAGTCTGGACGGAAGCTTCTAGTATCTTCTCAGTTGCCTCCTTTTGGGTGAAACCCGTCTCCTTGGTTAGTTATGTGCTAACCTGGGGGATGTATTTTGATAAATACTTTTGCTACAACTAGCCTTGCCCATGGGACGTCCATGCCCTCCCCACACACAAGCCCTGACCCTGGCATGGTTTGATAAGACAGGAAAAGACACCGATTTGTCTCTTCTCACTGATTTTATGAATGTGCAGCTATTTTTTTGTTACTAAAATCATAGTCACATTTTCAGGTGCTATTTATTCTGGGAAACTGCATGTTAAAATAATTTATTTTTATCTTGCCAACACTAAGTTACAAGTCATAAATTTTGTAATCATTGTGCATTAATAGTAACGCCATAGTTTCTTGCCTCTGGCTTCTTAGTGAAGCTGAAAGAGAGGTTTTTTTCCGTGAAAATAGAAGGAATATGTGTACACAGGGCCTTGAGGGTGGATCGAGTGTGCAGTGGGTGCTGAGGGAAGAGGCACAGGATGAGCCAATGAGGACGAGCAAGGAGGATTTGCAGGGCTCAGAGCGGGATCTTGTGGGGTCAGGAACGTTGTCTTCTGTTGAAGTGGTCATCAGCTTAGTTCCATTTCGTCCTATTCCAAGGAGAATCCCTGGAGCAGGAGCCAAGACCCTAGCTCTGGCTCCACTCAAATGTGAGAGGTGTGGAGAACTAAAAGGCAGCTCATCCACAGATACTTTGCCAAGTTCACCTATAGTTGGCTTTTAAAATCAGCAGACTTCGGATGTGTGTCTGGTGCTACAGGGGAAGCTCTTCTTTTTGAAAGCAACTGTGAGATTCATTTTAGAGTACTGGAAACTTGTGAATCAAAGCAGTAGAAGACTGAGTGGAACAATTAATTTGTACAACTGTCATATTCAGAGAGAGGGACGGGAAGTGAAGCCCCCCACAGACTATTCTGATGCTCCTGCTGAATGGAGGCCAGAATCTTCCATGTGACGCCAGGGTCCTTGTGACTGCTCTTGTTTGTGCAGCCTGTTCTTGTACCTCTGCCTTCCTGTTGTCCATCTCAAACCAGGAATCCTCACAGCACTGACCTCGTCCCTGTTCATATTCTTAAAGACCATTGTGGACTACACAGAACTTTCTGCACATTCTATCTATTGATGTGAACCGCATTGGAATTACGACAGAGAACTTTTTTAAAATATTTACATTTAACTTACCTAAAAAGAGTAATAATAAACCCATTCCATATTAATGAATGTTAACTATCTTTTCCAAAGCAAAACTAAATTAATGCAAAGTAGCATTGCAAATCAATTTGATAACTGAAGAGAGTCTTATATCTGCTTCTGCATTAGAAATGGAAGGCAAGGTACCATGTGGCACATGCTTCTAGGAAGTTCCATGCCTGAGAGAATGAGAGGGAAACGGCACATAGAGCCTAAGTATGAGCTGCTGGGCTCCCTGGAAAGCCTCTTGGGAACTTCCCAGACTCCGGACCCCACATTAGGAACCATATCAACCATAGACCCTCAGGTCTCTGTTAGGATGGAAAATAGTCAGCAGGGCGCTGGGCAGAAGTAAGGTTTGTTTGTTGTTCGTTGTTGTTGTTGTTATAACAAAATATCAGAAACTAGGTGACTTTACTCAAAAACGAAGTTTATTTAGCTCACCTCCATCTGGTGATAGCCTCCCTCTGAGGAATGTCCCAACCCGACAAAACCATGAGGCAGAGTCCCCAGGCAGCTGGTGACGAGGGACAGGGAGTGAGCATGTGTGCCTCCCGGTCCTCAGGATCAGTCCTGGGCGCTACCCTAATGAGCTTCTCTAATCCGAATCCCTTCCTGGAGACCATGGTCAGGAGAAATCTCTGCTTTGCTACCTGACCACAGGAGTCAGTGAGGACACTCCTGCCACATCCAACCCAGGCAAAGGTTAGAAAGCTCAGCTGGAGCTGCACTGTGTGCTGTCTACCCTACAGTCATCGTTACCTGAGAAGGAACCAAGTATTCTCACTGAGAGGCAGACCTATCCGCCCTGCAGTCCAATGGTATTGTGTTTCTGGGAGGTCTTCTAGAGAGAGACGTTTCCATTCCATTTGCTGTCTACCTGAAATCTATGAGGAAATCAGGACATCTGCTGTCCTCTTTGTTCACTACAGAATCAAGGTCATGAAGCTCCTTAAAGGACACCCAAAACCACATCTTACACTCAAGTCCTTCCCATGGCAGCTTGCCCCATCTCAGTGGGCTCAGCTCACTATGAAAGAGGCCAAGAAGCTCTGAACACAGACATTTAAGCTTATTTCCATTGTACCAACTCCCTTATACACCAGTGTGTTCACTTTTCTGGTTTTTTTTTTTTTCGTAATGGGGATAAAACTCAGGACCTTGTGCTTGCAAGGCAGGCAGTGGAACCACTGAGCTTACTCCTCGGCCCCACTTTTCTGATTTTTAGCAACTAGAAATAGTGAGTGTGTGAGAGAGAATCCACTGTGCTCCTCATGGGAATTCTCTGGCCAGTGCCATTAAAGTTTCCCTGGGTGACATGAGGAGGAAATTCACCATTCATTACCAGAACCAAGGAAAATCAGATTAAGAAGAACAACATTGCCCAAAACCCAGGTATTTGACTTTGAAAACCTGAAATGGCCATGGCAGCCCTGATGTCAGTCAGCACTTTTGGAGGCATCGTGGGTTTGGAGGGGACGCAGTGCCACAGCAGAGGTGGTCCCCCTGCATCCTGCGAGGGCTGTGGACTGACTGCTGGGAGCCTGCCCGGCCCCTGGTCTCCGCCAGAACTTTTGTCACGATCTCTTCCAGTGCAGGTTAAGCCCCTATTCTCGTCCTGCCATCTGCTAAGAAGAAAACAAATGTTTTGAATGAATGCTAGACCACTTTTGGTTCTATTACAAATTGCATTCTTTTAACACTTTACAGTGAGTGTTGACATATACTCTTACCCATTCTTTCTTTTGAAGGTTGTGCCAACTCACAGGGTAGCCAGAAATATTCCAAGAATTTGACAGTAGGATTTCTTTTTATTGTAATAAAACACACGACATGACATCCACCATCGTCACCATTTGTGAGTGTAAAATCCAGTAGTGTTACATGCATTTACACAGATGCACAGCCATCTTTGGGGACTCTTCACTGTACCTACCTAACAACTGCCTACTTCCTTTCTCCTCAGCCCCTGGCAACCAACCTTCTATTTTCTGTCTCTGTGAGTTGACTACTCTAGGAATCTCGATTTTTGTAATCATACAGCATTTATCATTTTGTGTCTGGCTTATTTCACATAGCATAATGTCTTCAGGGTTCATCGGTATAGTCATGTGTGTCAGAATTCCCTTCCCTTTTAAGGCTGAATAGTATCCCTATCAGTTTTTGTTTATCCATTCACCTGTTGATGGATGCTAAGACGCTTCCACCTTTTGGCTCTTACGAAAAATTGCTGCTGTGAGCTCAAGTGTATGTATTTCTTCAAGACCCTGCTTTGAATTCCTCTGAGTAAGCAGTAGCTTTTGATAGAACTGATTAGCAATGTGCCCCTGAAAGACACGGGTCCCGGAGGCCCAGGTGGCCCCAAGGAGCACAGGTTTTACTCTAGCAAGACTTCCACGTGGAGAGCTCGTGCCAGATGAGCTGTTCTCCATGCAGACTCAGTTTGAGGAATTCCATCTACTTGAAAATACATTTTATGTGAATTTATGCTACACAAATAGAGCAGTTATCACATCTAGTAAGATGCAAAAACAGTGTATCATGTATCATATCATGTATCGTAGACATTTAATAACACATTCATTTTATTATAAAAAATGAATGTGTTATTAAATAAATAAATAGTTTTTTGAAATAAATAGCAATAAATAGTTAAATAAATAAATAGTTTTTTGATAAAAATGATAATAGTGACATTTTATTTCTTTGGTCCTTTCTTTGAAGAATTCAGATTTTCTTGTATGGCTCTGACCTGTAGCACATGTAAACAGGGTAATATTTTATATTCCTTGAGAGTGTGTCATTAGAATTGTTGTAGTCAAATGCTTGGTGGAGTGTCCAAATGGTTTTACCAGGCTTTCTGACTATGATATTGAGGAGCCTGCACCTCTACCTTGCAGCAGCTCCACTCTTTAATTATTGCAATTGCCCTGTATACTTACACAACTCTTTCCCGTTATCTTTCTGGGGACATCCACTGCACATCCAAATATAGTATTGTGTGTGTGTTAAATGAAAATGGTAATGCACCACCCCTTTGCTTCACTCAGGGATTATCTACCTTAGCTGTTTTTTAACAGAAACTTTCTCCTTACACCAGGATATCTTGGCAGTGAGGTCACTTCTAGAAAAGGGGGAACTGTTACGAGCATGCTTGATGTGGAGTAAGTTGCCACCACTTGTCGAAATTCTCCTAATTCTCCTTTTTCTTCTCTGTTTTGCTTGCCTGTCTTACTGCTTCTTGGAACATGGGATGTGGATCTCCTTATCACCTGGAAAAATCCTGTCCTTGGAATCTGGATGTGGATAATGTGGGTGAGTCCTGAAATTAATGTTTAAGCTGTTCATTTTTCTCTTTGCTTGTGGAAGAAAAAAATTGCCAAGGAAAATTGTTTGATGGGAAAGTACCTCAAGCATGAGCCGCTGTGTACGTGGGCCACATACACCTTTGCTTAGAGATTAAACCCCCCACACTGGAGAGGGGAAGATTTCCAGGTGCACTGTTGCCATCACCCAAGTTCATGTGCAATGAAGAAGAATCAGATTCATTGGTCCAAGTTGCTATTTAGACTTTTCTGTAGGTTTTCTACACCCCATTTTGGGGTCTATACCATCATTAATAATAGTTCCTTATGACAAAGCAATTTAAAAATATCCCACTAGCTTGACACTGAATTTTCTTTTCTCAGTCTGCTCTATGAATCACATAACTCAAATCTTTATACATATTTATCATTTATGGAAAATACAGGTACAAATGTATTTATTTTTGTGATACTTTTGTGGTTCACTTTCCCAATATAAACCGGAGGGAAGTGGTACATTGTTGACGTGTTTATATTTAATTCATTACTTTCTCACTCCATTTGTCCTTAGTGAATGATGTCAAAACTCAAGGTAGCAAAATGACTAAGCATCAAACTTGAACTTAGTTCTTCCAAAAGTGAGCAACAACAGTGTACCAAACCCTGTGCTGATTTGCATGAGGACCAGGACTGGAGAAGGGCTTGTGAGCTGCTGATGTGTTTTTCGCTATGGGATGCGGACTAGACAGGGTCTGGTTTTTGAATATACCTACTTTTAAATACACTTTTGCTTAGTTCTCAAGGATATGGGAAGAAAGATTCTGGGGAGAGTTGCTGATTGCCAGGATCTTATGGAAGAGGCCGGTTCAGTATCTTCTGTGTTTTTTAAAAAGGATTTAGCACAGCTGGTTAAGAAAGAACCCGTTGAGACAGACCACCATAGGAAAGTCATTGCTTTGATTATCAACCTGAGTCCCCCTCTGTCAGTGGATTTCAAGCTGCCACATCATGGTCTAGGCTGGTTGAGGCGCCAGGATTTCACTTGCTGGCAGCAAACAGTGTTTGTTGTTGCAATCTGTTATTTCTGAAATTTCTAAAATTACGTTCAAGGTTGGTATGAATTTGGCATTGATGTTTGTAAGACTTTCTATTCTGGTATAAGTAATTTGGGAATCTTTATCTTAGATGATTTACTTGCCCATAAATATCCTTAAGAATATGTGTCGTTAATCTGTTGCTCCGTGAGCAGCTGATTTGACACAATTACCACCTAATCAGCTGCTTCGCCTGTTGGGTTATGTGATGGTTTCCAGCCCCATGTCTAGAAATCACTTTTTGGGATTTACACTGTGTGTTCCTTCTGGAGTTTTCACTTCTCTCTCCATCATGGGAAACAATAACCAACTGAACAGTCATGCTAAAATCTCATTTTCTCTTCCAGTAATAATTGGTAGCCAAAGCTTCGTCTTTTGAATTGTTCACCAGCCAGGTCTTGTGAGTTCCTCATCTGTCTAAGACTTTGAAAGCTTTTGAATCTAACACTTTATTTGTGAAACACTCAGAAAATTTCTCAGAAGTGTATAATTCTAAAAATAGCAAAGCACAAGCAGTGGTGTTCTACTATATTATTTTCTCCTAAGTTCTATGTCCTCTGCCCTTTTTCTTTCTCCACTAGGTAGCAAATTGAGAGTCTGGTTTAATCAGGGTGATCAGATTCTGCTTCATGTTTATAAAATGTCTTCACTAAACCCTTCCTTTTAGCCTGTCTAACTTACATTTGGACCTCTGTACCTCTAACCATAGGCATTAGATGATGTTTGTCATGTGCATCTGAATTTTTCTTGTTTCTGACATTTATGTCAAGTTCTGAGGTAAAAGTGACAATCTTATGGGCATGTGAGGAATAGGAACAATTTTAATAAGAACATATTAGGAGGGTGATTTGCCCTATAAAGTTCTTTCTTTTTCTAGACAAATGTACATCTTTGCATCTGACAGTATAACTGTATTTTAGTAAAACTAATAGTAGCTTAGGAAGAAAAAAATTAAACAGAATTGAACTTGTTTTTCTAGATTCAGAGAAACCCTTCTACCTACAAATTTCATTTCGAGTTTTGACCCTTGTTATTGAGTGTTAGGGCTCCTGCCTCTAGTCCTGAGTCCTTCTCTAATGGCTAACTTTCTGCTTTATTAGCCAGGGTAATAACCAGGCTCTTCTCCAAGTCAGAGAGACATGGAAAGGAGAAAGTTATCTTGGTCAGCCGCCTGGCTTGCTGCCTTCCAGAAATCCCTGACACGTGTGGCTCTGGCCATCCGCAGGGATACCCGGGCGCCTGCTCTGGAAAACCCTCAGCACATCTTATTTGAGTTTTGTGACAGCTAAACCCTTCTTCTCATCTTTCTTCCATCTGCTATCTAACTTCAGAGAGACACATCCAAACTGTAATTCTCACCAGGGCTCTCACTTCCAGTATCCCGTGGCTGCGTATTGTCCTGGTGTGTTTTTCCCTCCCTAGTGTCACAAGATCTTGCTCACTGAGGTGGGTGTCACAGGCCCTGAGGTGTCACTAATAATAAACTGGATGCTCGATTTTAAAACTCTTAAGTAGCACAAACTAGACTCAAGCTGCCCATCATAGCAATACTGTTGACACTCGCCTCTGCCCCAGGGTTGATTCCTCTATGGGAACAGAGGAAGAAACGGTTGCAGCCTTTTGCCAGCACCACCATCTGTCCCATTGCCAATGGCAGCCATGGATAATTTGAGTCACCCAGGATTTCTGAGATGCTCCCCTGTGGCAATTTTAGGAATTTTAAGTATGCATAGTTTTTAACTTTTATTTCTGCGTAATTTCTAGTTAAGAGGGAAGCCCAAGATGGGTGAATAGAGCTCAGATATTTATGTTGTACATCGAGATGTCAGCGACATTCTTACCCACAATGGCAATGATTGCGATCACCAAATAAGTAGCCAAGCGATGACAAAAGTAGAACATATCCAAAGCTGAGTTAAAAGGTTCAAATCTGTACACTTCATTTGTTTTAATAACAATAAGTAACATATCTTTCACCAGTAGCACATGTTTACTTACCTTTTCGTATGACCTGTGTAATGGAGGTCTGGAAAGACAGACTTGTCTCTTTCTTTTCTCAAAATGAAACAAGATGTTTTGAAAATTTATTCCAAAATGAATGATTTCATGTTTAATAGAAGATGTCATCTCTCACATGTTTATATAAGGGTGTCATCAGTGCTATACCCTCTCCCCAAAATGGCTATGATGCTGCTCTTGGCTTTGTTTTCTCAAACAATTTTGGTGGAGGAAAGGAGTTGGAAAATTCTAGAAATATATACTGTGTGGAAAAGTCATCTGTATTACGTGTCAGTCTTTAAAAACAAACAAACAAACAAAAACTAAAGCAAAAAACCAAGAACCAAGCTCCTTAGGATGCTCTTCAAGTGATGTAAGTGATTTCCCTGATTCTGTCTCACCCACCCAGGTCCCCACATTTCACATGGGGCTCCCTGTATCTGGGATTTCTCACACCTTTCTCCTCCATCTGCAGCCCCTCCCCATGCCTTCTCCGGTACTGCTGCTGTCCGTCACACACAGCTTCTGCTGACCTCCAGGCTCCCAGCCTTCCTGTCTCTGCGCCTCCTGGGCTAAGAATCTGCCACACCCTTACAGCAGCCTGGGTCTTGTGCCTTTCTCACCAGACTCTGCGGGTTGTTTGGGAGTGACGGGTGTATCCATGATATCACCCCACTGTTTTCTAGAATCCCAAAGAACCACTAGTAGGTAAGGGCATTATTTAACAAATGACCATAATACAAAGCTGAATGAAATAATACTTCCAAGATTGCACCTTTTAACGGTTTCTGTCTGCTTAACGTGTGAAATGTGGGAGGGTATCCCAGGCTATGTTCGGGAGAAGCAGGCTATGAAGCGACCTGGTGGTCAAGTTGTCTGTGAGCAGGTAGAGCTGGGACCAAAGGCAGGCAGGGAAGCAGAGCTGGGCAGAGGGAGAAGTTGGGCTTGGGTGCAGTCCCAAGGGGTGTCTCAGTCTATCCTGGGAGCAGCTCTCGTAGTTTCCGATTAGCTGGGGAGGACTTGAGATTTCTACTCCCACACATGGTGGTCTTTTTGGGTGATGGCTGCCCCTGGAAGGAGCTGTGGCATGGATATGTCTTCAGTGGGGGCGATTTCCACAGTGGAGGGAGAATCATGAATCCTCCATTTCTGTGAGGGGATCCAGTTGGTATATCGCAGTGTCCAACACAGACAGGCATTACTTTTTGTGAAATTAACTAAAGAAGAGCAAAATGCCTGAGGATTTGGAACACTGGAGAAGGGGGTCTTAGAAGAAATGAGACACTTAGGTAATTCCAGTTTTAATAGAAGTAGTTTTAATAAAATGGATTTCTCTCTGAATAAGAATGTATGATTCTCAAAAACTCCTTAAGATTTAATTAAGCCTAGCAAACTTAAAAGCAGTAAATGTATAGGATTTTTTAAAACAGTATTCCACGTAGTAAAACTTCAGCTACTCATTCTATAAGCAGTTATTCCTACCCAAAATGTTATGAGGCCGCTAGAAAGGAAGGAAGTCAAGCACTGAGGAGATAAGAGGGTTTCAAGCCATTGGTGAAGACATTATTTAACGTGATCATAATGCAGAGAAGAATAGGACTGTAATTTTAAGACTAGTACAAGCAGAGGATAGCAGAGAAAAGATGCACCTAATCACATTCAGCAGGGGAGTATGTGTGTGTATGCATATGTGTATGTGTGCATGCGTGGGTGTTTGGGTTTGTGTGTGTGTGTGCGCCCGTGTGCGCGCGCACCCCTGGAATAGATGTAATGTGAGATAAGCTTTGAACCTTCAGAGACTGAATTTCACCCTTCTAAGAAATGTTAGTTTTTACTTTTTCTGCCCCAAATCGTACCTCATTCAACTTTTTAGCTTCTGCACCTCCTAACTTCCATGTATTGAACGATGCACACCCTT